ATACCTCTATCTCTGCAGAGTCAAACTCTTTTTTGAGTGAACTGAGCTAAATTTATTGAAAACACACAAGGTGCTGTGAAGAGTTAAACTTCAGTAACAACTCATGGACCCTAGAAGACGTTGCTAGAGAGAGGACTCCAATCATGAAAACACAGTTTAGGAACAGCCAGACAGAGTAAGAGGCAGCCAGGCATGCACACATAAATACAAATGATTTATATGCATGAAGTTATTCATACAATACATGTTTATAGTTATATTAGTGTGACATCTCAATTTGCAAGTACATACAAGGTCAATGTCATGGACAGTTTACAAGACATGGTTTTGTATTAATTTAAATGTGATTAATACACTACACTAGATGTTTTATGTGACAGACAATAAGGTCAGTAGTTGTTTGGATAAGTAGGATTACTTGTTTTTTTGCAACACACACTGACTTAGTGGAGTGTTGGCGAAGTTTCTTTTTTCTGGTTCAATATGAAGGGTCTCAAATGAAGAAATGTTCCTTCCTGGGGTTGCAGCCATATGCTGCACTTCTGCACATCAGCCACTAGATGGACCTTTTGATACTCTGAAGTAAGCTTCACACGTTACAGCTAAGAAGCATGGACTTACTATATGCTTTGCAGCCATACAGACAGTTATTTTAATGTTACCAGCTGTGAAAGTGAGGCTGGTATGTTTTTTCACCATACGAGTCTCAAAATGGCAAAATGTGGTCCTGGAGACACCTATTGTAGTGGGAACTACCACAGAAACCAGAGAACTTTGGTAGGTGTTTAAATGTCCATTGTCTGTCTGTCAGTGGCCACCTTTTGTCTATGCAATAGCATCACAACCATGCAAGATGCAGACATGAAACTTAAGTTCCAAGATGGATGTGGTTCAAGCAAGGGCACCGGAAGTAGGGGAGTAGGAAGTAGGAAAGGGGCCCATTCCCCCCACCCCCCACTTTATACCCCCAGTCCACACTGGTTTTAAGTTGCAGATCGCTGAATAGCAGCTGGAGGGATCCTGTCCCTAGATGATCTCCGGTCATCTGGGGCTTCACCTTTATAGTCATTCTAACTTTCAGGTGAATGGGATTATCCTCAAATGAAAACTATTGCAACAAAATACAGAAAGTCTTATATCAGATAAAAAATGAAAAACACTTTTATTATGTGTCTATTTATCATGCATCTTCATCCTCCATATAACTTAACATGCTTATTCTTCTCATATATTAAGATTTCCCAGCTAACACTTTCAGTAAATGACCTCTTTTCCATTCCATTTCCATTTTATTTTCATATCATTTATCAAACATAATCAGAATAAAAAAATTGGTTTTGCTTATCTTAAGAACTCTTGGAACTACCAAACATGCTTTTATTTTTGCTGGTCGTGCTTTTATTTTATTTTGACAACTATCTAAAATGCATTTATTTTGTCTCTCTTAGCGAACTGCTGATGCAAGCATACATGTTTTTCCTTATCGTCTAACTTGTAGTTTTATTTCAACAAATATGTCAAAGCAGCATAAAAAAACTCACTGACTGCATTAATCCTCACTTGGCCCATAAACTCAGGGTGCATTCACACCAAGTGGGTGTGTAGTGGTTTAGTTGAACTCTGGAGTATTTACTTGTTTGGCTCAGTTCATTTGGTCATGTGAGAGCATTCGAAACAAAGTAGCAGCAAATAACAAACACAGGCAGACAGCAGAAAATGTGATTCTCAGCTCTCCTCCAAGAGAACTCTGTTAACACTTATTATAGAGGTGAAAACAAATAGAACAAGTTACAGGAAACAAAACACCAGGCTTTGTGTGGTGTGATCCTCTCACATCTCTGATTTGTTAATTTTACAGTCCATCTATCATAGCTGTACTCGCTATCTTACTGTCAGTCTCATGTTCCTCTCATGTTTACCTATGTTGTTTAATTTTCTGCTCACATGTCGCTCTCACTTATTTATCTTTATAATACTGGCTGAATGCCTGTTGGTCCCTATCCAGGTGTGGTTTAAATGATATGGCTTCTTGAAGCCTGATATCATGCTTCAGATTTCAGATACTTGTGAAATATCTGATATGGAATATTATTTGTCCACCTAGTTAAAGGGAAACTACACTGATTTCATATTGCACTTTCAAAAGGTTAGGGGACTTGTTTATGGATAAAAAAAGTCAAAGTCAAAGCTGCAATAGATAGAGAGGTAGGATAAAATTTTGGGACTACACAGCGCTCCAAAAGGTTTTTCAGAGGCACACTCGAAACCGTGTTATAATTATCAAGACACCAGTAATGTAAACAACTGTTTATTTGACATTGTATGTATGTCACAAAGGGGTTCATCCAACATTACAATTAGTTAAGTCACTAACGTTATGCTAAGTGGCCAGAATGTCGTGTAGCTAGCCTTACTACAAAAATAATTGTTTACAGTCTACCCTTCATACTACAAACTGATTCACCAGTATTTTCAGGCATTCTCTCTTATATTTATTCAATTTGCTGCTGACAACCATAAAATGATAATGCAGCTCATGGATGAGAAATAACCACAGCTGAAAATGGCATTCTCAAAATGTCTGGCAACAAACTCACTGAGGGTGTTTACAGAGATGCCATTCGAAACCCAGGATATTGAAGGGTTGTGCCAGTTCATAGGGGAAGATTTCAACCACTACTCCTTGTAACTGCTCCATGGGGCAAAAGGGTGCTCAAAAATGAGGAATAGGGGTAAAAATAAGAAATGTAACCGAGCCAAACAATCAAGGAGACAAATACATGCTGTATATTTTCACACTTAAACAGTCCTTACTAAGGTTGGACAACTGGCTATTAGGCCTACCTTTTAGTGACAGGGCATTACTATCAGAACAAAGCATTGAAAATGTGAGAGAAAGCTTCCTTATTAACTGTAAGTACAACCCAAAGTATGTGGGCTGTAATATAAAGCTTGTTTGTCCCTTTTCAGAATTATATTTTTTATATGGGAAAGCCTCTGAGACCTTCGTAATTTAAAAGATGACACTGAAATAGTTATTGTTTATACTCTGGTGGATGTCAGGACTGGATTTATTCACCGTGAGGTTCCCTGGGCAGCATTGTGCTCTGGGCCCCTATTGGCACCCTTATTTTTGCACCTGGTGAACAAAATATAAACATATATAATAAAGGCCGCTGTAAAGAATGAGGAAGAGTCCTGCACAGGTCCATTTTTGAAAACCCGCACCTGCTCATATCCATAAAGCTCAGTACCAGAACTGACCCGTTACCAGTCTTTATGTCTAAGTTGAAGCTGCACCCGCCTGCACCCATTAATAAAAGTCCCATGACCTGACCCACACCCGTGATTAAACATACATAGGCTGCAGTTACTCACATTAAGCTGGGTTCTATGTTCTTTAATTACAAATCAAGCAGAAGAGACGTCTCTTTCACAGGCTGCGCTCAAAGTGGTGATGGCGATAACATTCCGTGCAATCACTGCTAGGTTAGGAAATATTTTAGCACGCTTCTTCCACCACCATAAAACCTCAAAATGATCCCCCATGAGTGCCTTGAACTTGATATGGTGTAGTCTGCCACCTCATCTTCATGCTGCAAAGTTTCACTTTTTTCTCCATGTCGCTGACGAATGTGACAACCGCATCAAAGGTTCAACTTGTGTCACTGACTTTCAAAATAAAAGGAATTGCAGCTTGATAATAATGATTTAGATGTCAAAATATTACACATGTACTGCACATCTTTTCTTTTATTCTGAAAATTTAAAAATATATTTTTTTGTAATCACCCGCTGCCTGCCTGCACGAAGTTCATTTTTACCCATGCCTCTTCCTGTGAATTTATATATATACATATTGTTACATGTTGCACAGCTTTTTGCGGGTTACACTCTAGGATGGGAGCCTCAAGTTCAGGTGTTCTACACTTGTCACCCAGGCCCCCAGGAAGTGCAACAGACTTTGACGCCAATTTGACATAGTGGCCAAACTGTGTAACTGCAACTTCCATTCTATGTGATGCCATTTGGCCCAAAAAGACCTTTTCTCACAGACTTAACTGGGAAAGAGACACCTGTAAATCAATGGATACATTTTTTAAGCATCACAATCTCTGGGAAATTACTTGTTTCACCATTGAGATGTGATCCATTTGGTTTGAATTTTTTTTGAAGATATAGAAGGGCAGCAAAATTAAATCCTTTTATCCCCATTCAAGTTAGCAAAGGGCTAAACTGAGAGTTAGCTTCGCAGTTGGCAGAAGACTCTTGTGTGCTTGTTCACAGCAATCCAGGAGATCCTGGTAATTTTTAACTGGGAAGTCAAACTTTTTTTGGCTACATGCACCACTGTACAGTTTTCATAGGAATGAAAGGCGCCCCACGTCTAATGCTGTATCCAGTTCTCTTTATACATCCATGGTGTCACCTTTAGGCTGCTATCATTTCAGTTTATAATGCACTTCAATGGTGATTACAGTATTAACAAACATATTTACAATTAATAATGTTACCACAAACTAATTGCCACATTGTTCTGATTGTCTGGGGTCCTGAGGCAGTTGCCCACTTTGCCTAGTTTATAGTCCAGCCTTGGTGTAAGTGGATTAGTTCCCTATCTGAATCAGTTCAGGTTATGATCTTTAAAAACAATGAGAGAGGTTTTTTTTTTAATAAAAGTTGGTATCAGCCAATTCTACAAATAGTATGTAATCAATCAAACTACCTTATAACTATCCTATCACAGCCTCTCACCACGCCTGTTTCCACATCTGCCTGTCTGCCATCTGCTCTGCAGCTACTGCAATAATAGCTTGCAGCTGCAAAGGAAGGGGGGGGTGGGGGGTTGGAAGTAAAAACCCAGAGGGGCGAGAGGTAAAGGGAGGGCAGGCAGGCGGACGGGGAGGGAGGGAGGAGAGAGGGAGGGAGGAAGAAGGAAGGAGGGGGCGGTGAAAGCAGAGCTGTGATGCAGACAGCGAATCACATGAGCAGGGATCTGTTTACAAACTGAGGGCTGTAGACGAGAAGTGGAGAAGAGAGACGAGGAAGGTGAGAGGAGGACAGTGAATGTGAGAAGGAAATACAGGAGAAGAGAGGAGATCCTGGATCTGAATTAACATTAGCAGCATTGTCTTCCTGTGTTATATACCTCCCTGTGTTCTTTGTTCAGAGCAGGAAGGCAAGGGAAGAGATGAGACGTTGCTTTCCGCAGGAACACTGAGGCTGCCTGCCTTTCTCTCTGCCTGCCTGGTTGGCTGGTCGTGCTGCCGGGAAACCCATCCATGTCCTTCCCTTTGTCTCTCCATAATTGGCCACGGCAGGTTTTCACAGCCAGGGAGGAGGAAAGCGACGTGGAAATCTGAAAAGAGAGGACAGAGGAGAGAGAAGAAAGGAAGGGAGAAGAGAAAAGAAGAGGATGAAGGGAGGGAGAGCCTCGTGACAATGTTTTGAAGGAGAGACAAAACAAAAAAGCAGGGACTGCACACGGCTAGAGGTACATAACCAGTGTCCTGGATGGGATTTGGAGTATATTTCCTCATATAGTCAAGGACATTGGTGTCTTTTTATCCACAAAGCTCACAGATTCATCTCCAAGACTGTTGTCTTTGTCTCTCAGTGGCAAATCATCACTGCAGACTGAGGTTCAAATGAGCAGCTGCTTATTTGGGTAATGTCTTCTTGAGAAACTGGGAGTCTTTAATCAGATCTGCTTACTCTAGACCACAAGGATTTAACTCACTGCACATCCGCCCTTCCATTAGAGTTAAACTAGTCTGAACCTAAAAAGTAGTGAATGTACAAGTTGTGCTTTGGTGGAAACCAGACTTTGTGATATCAGAGAGGTCACGACCCCAAAGATCCTGAGGGTTTGCCAGCTGAACATTTGCACATTTGATGCATCCTGTCCAGTGGTGTTACGGTAAGTGTCCGGGAACTGGTTGTACAATTTTTTCCTAAGTTCAAGCTAAGCCTTGTAATGATGTGTATACTAAGTAGAGATTTAAGTATAGTTAAACAGGGTTGCACCACATAAACTAGTTCTATTTTGCTTGTGCTTCGCCCTCTAACAGGTTTAACCCATCAAGGCTCCACCTAGGCACACCAAAACAAATCTTTGCACTCATTGCCTGATCAGGTGCCAGCAGACATACCTTTAAAAACACCAGCACACCTGTCGCTAAGTTCTCTTTGCCACTCAGCCACCTTGAGTGCAGACAGCACTCGGTGAAACCTTTGTCACACTGGTGTTGCCGAGATGTCCTTCTAGGCAGGTTCTGTTGAAGTTTGTCCTTACTATTTCAGCCTGCTTGCCTCCTCTGCTTTCCTCAAAGCTGGGGAGGGAGGCATTGGTGGCTAACTAGCCATGGTAGGCTACTCATACCAGGAGGGAGATGGGCAGCAAATCTGAGAGGAGGTTCCTGTATTCCTGCTGCCTTGCTGACAACATATGCCACTGAACACTTCCACTAACTGCTAGGATAGTGACGCTTAGGCTACCTCACTAGCTCCACTAGCTGACCAACTCTGGTTACACCATGACTTGTTAGCATTTGTTTATTTAGCTTAACACTGGCTAGCAAGCTGCTTTCCTAACTGACTCGCTATTCACTGCTGGCATTGATGCAACATTTCCTCTGAAACAAAAATTTGTGTTTCCTAGGATACCAAAAGTACAACCCACCCTAATCTCCCTCTGACTTTCTAGTACTCATCATCACCTTCATTGCTTGGGCTGGTTAGATTTAGGCAAGAGGAGCTGTTGTAAGGCAATGATACACAATTTAACCTCAGGAACAAAGGTTTTTTTGCCGCCTATGCCCAGATGACAGAGTTAGTTTCTGTTAACTATTAGGCTAGTGCTGCTCAGGCGGGTCCATGTCATTGGTTCGACAGCCCATTGGTTCGACATCCCATTAGTCCGACTGTCCGCGGTGCTGAACGGCTCGTGGCGGGCGTATGGTGCGCCGTGACCGGCTTGAGGCGGAGCAGGCTCACGGCTTATGTGTTTGTCACTTTCTTTTTCATTTTAACCCACACCATGATCTTTTCCTTACCCTAACCAAGTGGTTTTTGTGCCTAAACCTAACCAGACCTTAACCACAGGGCATCATGATGATTTCGGAACGGACTTCGGAACAATGAGTTTAATATGGTCGGAACAATGGGATGTCGAACCAATGGGCTGTCGAACCAATGGGCAGTTCCCGCTCAGGCAACATTACTAGCTAACACTAGCTGGCTAACTCTAGCCAAATCATGACGTAGTAGCACTTACTAATCTGGTTTAGCACTAGCAAGTGACAGCACTTACCTTGTTGGCTCACCCTACAGCGGTCAAGGTAACCTATGTACAGACTATGGTGGCCATGTTTCCTTGGACTGTCCCAGTTATTCACCGTCAGGACCCAGCAGGATGCATGCAGCCTGTATCAGCTTCAGACTCTTCTGCTAAACTTGTCGACTTGAAAGGAATGAGAGCGGCAGCACTATTCTACAGCACAGGTTGTTTCTTAGTTTGTAATGTATATGTGCTGATTAGAGACACTCCACCAGGGATGGTGTGATGGGATGCTTGCGGTCTCCCCTGCCTGTGTGCCTCATTTCACCAATTAAGAGCAACCTAGGAACTTCAGCGTTGGGGTTGGGTCTCCTCTCCCCAGAAGAGGAAGCTTGGGCACAGTGCTGGGTGATAGCTCAGATCCCCCATGATGGACTGTTTATCACCTACATGTAGTGTTTACCATACTGACAAGGAAGTGGCACAAGGCAAGTAGATGTCTCTGGCCATCTTCATTATAATCACCCACATTCACTTGTGATCTAACGGTGCCAGATGTGCAGGAGCACACAACCAGGCTCCCACACAGATAATTGGTTATGATTCTACACTGGTTACTTTAGTGCTGAGCTCAAAAGGGAGCCAAGTAACTAGTGTGCCACTGTTTTGAAGGGCATGCATGCCACCTCCTGACTGGGCAGTGAGTGTAAACAAATGTTTTAGGGTGCTGAGGTGGTGCCATAATGGAGTAAACCAATAGTGAAGGCCATTAGTGGGTTATACACGTACTCATAGAACTGGAGTTACATTGAGGTAACTACTATCTTCCATAGAGATTAGTTGTTACTAAATATTTAGACCAAGTAGCTGGTGTAATTTTAGTTTGCTAACATACAATCTGTTCAGATTTTAGAGTAAAAGAAGTGACTTGAAAATGGATGTATATTGTTAATATTTTAGATTGCTTCCTTTCTAGCTAGTAGTTAAGACCGAATAACTCTTCACACAAATTTAATGCTAGATTTATGAATAGTTGCCACAACCCAATCCTAATGTGAAATTTTATACATAAAGTTATGACATAGTCAGTAAGAGCCATACTGTTTATTATGTGTTTACCACTGATACGACTTTAAACATATTCAACAAAACAGCTTAGATCTCCAAAGTAGGTTTTACACAATCAGGTTCCATCATTTCCCAGTCAAAACATTCAAACCAAAGCTACTCTTCCTGTTTAACAGTGTTCAGGTACAGTCCTATCTAGACTGCATGCATGCATTTGCACAGTGGCCTACCTTTTAGCGCTCCACTATCAATGATTTACTAACATAGTGCTAAGATTACAGCTGCTTCCTTCTTCTCCCAACCCTCCTGTCAAACCCTCCCTCCTCTAACCCCCCCACTGTACTGCCGAAGACTGCGCCGTCCTGCTGTGACCCCTGTCCATTAAAAAGTGACTTTTGAACCAGGAGGTTACCAGCACGTTACAAGTTGTGTCACTTGACCTTAAGAAATAGTTAACCGCTGCGGTTTAAGGCTGACGTGCATTGCGTGGAATGAACACGGCCATGTTCAAACACCTCAGGCTGAAAACACTTCTCTCTCCCCGAGCCCAGACACCAGCGAGTAACAAGTCTTAGGCCAAGACGCAGACCAAGAAGTGGAACACATTCCTGTGTGACGCGAGGATGGTTGTAAAAGTTCACATGAAAGTGCTTTGCAGTGTTGGAGTGGTGCTTTGCTGTGGGATCCATGAACTCTGTAAATATGTGTAAGGTTTCTCTCCTGGTATAGCCACTGAACATTATGAGGATAGTAGAAACAAAATTCTCAATTCTGCTGTCATAGACTCTGTTGTTCTGTAGCTAAACTCAGTTTGATTCTGGTTTCTATGGATTTATGCTATGAAGATTTTACATTACAGCCATTAAATGCATTTGGCAGACACTTTTGTCCACTTAGAGTAAGTGCATTCAAACCACATAGGAGTAAGAGCTAGATACTTATCAAAATTGAGAGTGTATCCCTTGTAAACAAATGAGGAAAAAGCATGTTCAGTGCTGCTGTACAACTACTTAGTTTTTCTTTGTAAGCTTACCTTGACTTTACAAGAAAAAAGGCGGCAAAGCCAATTGCAGTTTCAATATATCAGCAAGAAAAAAGAAACAACAGTTATTTTCAACTCAGTTCGCTCCCTTTCTCCCACACTTCTTATCACAAACACAAACACAAAATTAGAAATAAGGCACCTCCATGGCTGTTATTACACACTGTCTCTGTAACTTTCGCTTAAGTTGAAACACTTTGTGCAGCTCAAGAATCCCTACAGTGTAAGCAGTATTACATTGCAATTTGAAATACGAGGCTTCACAGATGCAGTGTGGTGCATGTGCGCCAGGCCTTACACGTTACACAGACACCACATCCCTGCCATAGAAGGTGGACACAGACAGGGTGATGTATGATGGGATAGGTTTGTCACGAAGACCAGTGCGGACCACTGTCAAGCCTCTGACAAAGTTGAGTGTGTTAACATCTCAACAAGTGGACACAAAGATTACAGAAAATATACAGTGAAAGGCCATTGTGGATGATCTGCTCTGCTAAGAGTGAAAGGGTTTACTGTAAGAAGACACACAGAAGTGCTTGTCTCACTCTGTCTGGGGACAATTTAATATGTCATTCCCTTGTAAATTAGTTGTATCCATCAGAACTAAACCTAAACCTAATTCTAACCTCAGAAATTAAGTTGAAATGCCAAAAAAAGTGTCATATTTTTAGGCGATCAGATTTTTGGTATGGACCCCACAATGAGAGCAGGCGTTCGGGTTTGAGCACTTTGGGAACCCAAGATAGAAAAGAAATAACCCAAAAACAGATAATTCATAAAGACTCGAAATATGGAAGCTCATCCACACTACTACACATTTTGCAAGCCATTTATGCTTACATCATTCAAAGTGATAAACAGCATGGCTCTCTTAATGCTTTCAAATATATTCACAGTCTTAAAATGCCATGTGTAAAACACTCTTTATGCACTGTGTATGGAAAGGCATACACTTTTTCTTTGTTGTTTCTGCTGAGCTTCCAAATGCCACATGATGCAGGCAACATTCCTTACATGTGAAATAACTGGCTGTAGCTTTGTTTGCTGTAGCTATTCATGTCTAAAAAATTACATTTTCACATACTTTCAAAGTGCATTTGAAAACATGAGTGTGTATTTGCATTATTACCAACATTTGGCTTTGTTCACGAGTGCCTTGTTCTTTGTGTAAAGACAAGCTTGAGTTGCTTTAGACACACACTGACCAATGCCAACCTTTTATGAAAATATTATACATGAATATCATGCAGTTTGATAAGTAGCTGTCGTGTTGTCGTGATTGATAATACTTCACTGTCTGTAGGAAGGTTGCTTCCACGCAAGTATGCATTAATATTTGTCCTGGTATGAATATGTATTAAATGGATAGCTCAGAATGCTCTTATGATTGCTGTGATACTTTGGTGGTTTTGGTGTAACCCTAATGCCTGGGTCCTTTTTCTGTGGTAGCCAAATCATGTTTTACCTGTATTAATATAATATTTTTTGCTCCTGTTTCCATTTTGTATAATGTGTTTTTCCATGTGTCCCATACTCTCAGGGTGTGAGTGTGATCTGCAGAACTTCGATCCCAACTGCAAAATGACATCTGAGGAGCTCTTCCACCTGCCGCTCAATGTCTATATCATCATCCTGGGCATCGGCCTCTTCATCCTCATGCTCACCCTCATCTTCTGCTGCTACCTGTTCAGGTACAAGACAACAGAAAAGGCTGAGTTAGAGCTCCTGTACAGAGGTTGAGCCAGTCTTTTAGGTTTTTAAAATACCTTCACCTTTGTCTCATTCAGATAATATATGCTCAAGTTGTTTATTCCACTTTGCTATTCCCTAATTAAATCTAATATAATTAAGTTAATGTTATTCTGTAAGTCATGTTAAAGGTCCAGTATGTAGACTTTAGTTTGTTTGTTGTTGTAGGCCTAAGTGATTCTTATATTCATCAACTGTAAAAGTGCGTAGCCTATACACCAATTTTAACAAAATGTTTGAACATTTCGTCACTAACATCACTAAACATCACTAGCGATTGCTAAGGTATTCTTGAGTCTTCCTAGCTAGGCTAGCTGTGCATAGTGCATGTATAGTGCATGGATAAATTTGTTTGCTTTTATCGGCAATGCTGCAAAGTTAAAGTACCAAATGAATAAAAATAGCCCACTGCAGAATAGCCACCTTGTGCTAACACATATTTAAGAATGCTCATTTAGCTCTATTGGTAATGTTGATAGGCTAAATTCAACTTAAAAGGTTGTGTAACCTTTATTTTGAGACTCAAATATGTTTTGTGGCTCCAGACTCTTCTTTTTTGGCCAAAAATGGCTCTTTTGATAGTTAAAGTTGTCGACCCCTGTAGGAGAACTGTGATGTCTGAAGCAAAAATGCAAATGACCCTTACTAGAGGCAGTGTTTAGTTTGTCCATTTTGGGCTACTGTAGAAACAAAATGGCAGACTCTGTGGAAGAGGACCTGCTACGTATGTAGATATAAACATCTCATTCTAAGATAATGAAAACACAGAAATTCTTATTTATAAGTGATTATAAACTAATGAATGAATTAATGGTATTAATATTTAATGCCATTTCTGCCAATATATTTCCCTAAATCCTACACTCCGGACCTCTAAGGACCACATTACTTCGCATTATCGAGGATCCTTGATTCACATTTAGCGCAGCCCAGATTATTATGGCATGGATTCAGCTGTTGCAGATTTGTCAGATAAACATTCAACTCTACTCCAGTGGACTATAACAGAAATAGGTTTCAAGATTAGTAATGCTGTCTGTGCCAAATTCCTAACCTACCTTTTTATGTAACTTAAAAATAGTAACAATCCCTTTTTTGGTTGCAGACGTGAAAGTTAGTCATCCTCAACATTTGTATTATGGTTTCAGAATAATGGAGACAGTTGTAGAACAATTAAATACAAAATAGGATGTAGGCTCTACGGGTTGATTTTTTTCCTTGGAAATTATTATGTTTTTTCTGAAATGATGTACAGAATTTTAGGCATTCTGCTTTAGCAAATGGCTTAAAAAATACTGCTGTAAATAGGGGAAATTTTTCCCAGGCGACCATGCCCCTGGACCCCCCTAGGTTTGGACTTAGGCCCGAATGTTTATGGCTCCGGCCCTGCTCCTGCACAGGACTCACACAGTCTGATTGCTGTTCTGGACAAGAGTTAGCATGTTCCTACAAATCCGACAGCATTTAGTCAAATTCATCCACCTCTGACGGGAGACTTCATTCTAGTTTAAGTCAAACATGCTGTGAAATCTGCCTCAAAGGAAAATTCCTCCCATAGTCTTCTCTTTTGTCGTTTCCACTTTCTTTCAACCACTTATGCATAAGTTAGTGATAATCTGTTCTTTCAATAGCCCTAAGAGAGCATACCTGAACCCCTTACATACAATAGAGATGTTGTTTTTACCTGTAAAGAGGGAGAGCAAGTGATCCATACTCATTCGGTCTGAGTTTTAATATTTCAATAAACTACACTCAGTTAATACAAGTAATTTGTCAGTGCAGGGGTCTCTCATTGTATTACATAATACATTGTCTATTGTTTGAGAAATGACAAAGGTTCAAGTGATCACTGCTCTAGTCAGTTACAGACAGGTTTGGATTGGGTCAGTGAACTGCTGTCAGCCTCCAGGACTTCTGGAAAAACCTGTTCAAAGTTTTGCCTTGGCTAAGGAGATTTTGCTTTGTTGATTTATTTTGTTGCCAGAAGGATATCTGAGAAAAATATAAAAGACTGAGAGATTATGTTAAGTTGGTAGATTTATTTAGTGATGGCAAAAGTGTGTTTCAAACACACACTTAGAAGCCTAGTTGCCTATGTGAAATCTCAGTTATGAATAAAAACATCACTTGTTCACTGAGCCCAAAATATTGATAACCCCTTTATTATTTCACCAATCTATGGTTAACTTCATAAAACAAAACTTCAGTAATAATTCTACTGCAAGGGCACGCTCTTTAAAGAGTTAAAGACCTGCTCATGGTGAGTGCAGAAGCACAGGCTGTTACTTGAATTTGGCATTGTGTGAATTCCAGGGCTGCTTGACGCAGTATCTCAGCTGATTCATTCTGCATGACAGGACATGTCCTGAAGAAAGAAGACAGATATGGAGCACCAGGCACATAATATGAATTTTTACGACTCTGAATTACAGCATAAGTTTGTTTTTGTGTTTCACAGACTCAAGCGACAAGGTGCAAGAGAACAGTATGGTTATAATGAGGTAATGTGTTAATTCTAAATCTAGTTTGACAAGTGTCCAATTGTAATTCACACTATATTCGTATGCTTTTTTTGTCTGCGTTTTCTCACACATGCATTCTTGTCAACAGGTTGTTTTGAAAGGAGCGGGGAAGAAACTGAGCCTTCTTGGTGTAAGTTGAATTCAGAGTGAATGGGATGAGCCAAATGCTAAATGGCTAATGAATGTGGAAAAATACACTGAAGTCTAATGACTCAAGTGTTTAAAATGTTGCAAAATGAAGTGATTGCAAGAGTTCTTTTCGCAGCAAGTTTAATGCTGTAATGAGCTACAGTTTGCTTGAAAAAACAATATTTTTTCACCATTACTGTTGGCAAAGTTGTCCAATTACAGTGTAAAAATGTCACACATGTAATCACCATCTGAGTCACTGCTGGCCTGGTCCAACTTTCACTGAAGTTCAGAGGATAACCACGCAACCAAACATCCTATGATATTCCTTTTAAGTTACCATACTTAATTTAGGCTATTTTTAAATGTGGTTCTGTATGCTTGGCTAGACACAGCAGCTAGCTACTCCCTTGTACACTGTAGCACTCGTGTGACAGTTCCTCTGGCTACCTAATAAGCCATGTCCTAGTTTCATACTACAAAATAGGCCTAATTGTGACCAGGTTTCGACAAAGTGAGAAAACTGAGTGTACCAAATTGACTATGTAGCACAGTTAGTGTAATTTCAGAAAGTGGTATTGTCAGACAAATTCAAACAACAGAGATAAGAGCTACTCACGGCTAGCAGCTAACTGTAAGTAGTGGGAGCTGTGAGAAGATCTTCTCAAAAAAATAAGCATTAAAGGAGCTCTATACAGCATTCAGAGCATTAGTATAGCAGTAAACCACTATTTGCTATGTGATATATGGCCTCTTGACCAGAGAGGAAAGGTACGCTCCCTCTAATTCGAGCTTCTCTGTTAGTTGTTTGGTAGCTGGTCCGGCCACTTGTGCATGTGAGAGCACGAATGTTCCAGTGTGTGTATTCATCCGACTAGCTAATTACAGCGGAAGCATAACGCTTACCTTCCGTTTCCCTGCTTGTTAACACCAGCCCTTTGAGCTATATAGATCATGCTATAGGACTGCTGTGAAGTCCCTTCTTTATGCTGCCTTTCATTTTTACACAGAACCAAACAATGTCAGCATCATTCCACTCCAGCGTCCAGTGAACATGCTGGCATCGCAGAATCAAAAGAGGTGTGACAGGTGCGACATATAACACAACGGTGTCGGCCTCAAGCATGATATATAACGTATGCGTGGGCAGCTTTCTCTAAACAACAACAATGGTATAACATGGCAATAACAATCATTTACCGTCCCTGTTTCATGGCGGCTAATCTCGTCCTCCCCTTGAGGCTAAGGAGCTCCCAGACTTCTTTGTATACCCAATTTTTGGCCACTGTTCTTCTTCTTTGGGTTAGCTGCTGACTGCTATCAGCTACTTTTTAAATCTCCCGTGATGAGTTGCACGCATAACACGTCATCAGAATGTGCGATGCTGCCCTATGATACCGTCCTGCTGGCTGTTCAGTTCATACAGACATTGTTTCGGCGCTGTTACTACCTCCAATGCCGCCTTAAAGTCGAGACTGTCTAACCCATTCTGTCACTGTACCTTTTATACAGAATGGCAAAGTGGCATAACGAAATTAAATTCCTGCCATGGAGAGGCAGTGTAAAAGGGGTTATTGTTAGCTCTGTCAGCACTGTTGCTGTTGTCAGCCCTATTTATGCTGCAGGCAGTCTTGGCTCAGTCTCTGAATCATAGATATGATCTGAATGTCGCATACGGCTCCTTTAATCTTTGGAATCAAATTTAATATTGGCATTGGGCTAGTCTGACATATTAGTGGGCTTTCTCTGTCATCACCTGGAGGTTAAAAGGGTGAAGCATGCTTATTTCTTGTATGCCAAATGCAAAAACAGAATATTGTCAAGATTGGTAGTACAGATGGCAGTGATCATAGTACTGCAGTGCAGTTATGGAAAGTTTTATTGGTGATTATTTTAGAACAAAAAATCCCCCAGTAGTAGCTTCTGAGTGGATGCATTATAGTTCTGACTTTGTAATTGCTGTTTACTGAGGAGTTATGATAGTGCTTGTATCAGGATGCAGTGTATTAACTGAAAATGGTTCAGGTGTTGGTCATGAACTGATTTTAAAACCCATTATCTCTACTTTTCAGCAAACATGTGCGGTGTGTTTAGAGGAGTTTCGCAGCAGGGACGAGCTTGGAGTGTGTCCATGTTCCCATGCTTTTCACAAGAAGTAAGTTCTACAACCTGGCTTGGTAATTTTTCAAGCTTGATGAAATTGAACAGCTGACTCCATATTTGAGAACATGCAAACTACATTTCCAAGTTACAGTCAAATGAAAAAAACAAGACTGGATTCATTTGTTTAGCTTTGTCACAACTTGCTAATTATGCAGCTAATTTTACTGACTCATACATTATGTTTGAGACTGAAGATGAAAACAATTGTCAGTTGAAACCATGTGGAAGAGCACTGTTTGAACAGCCTGTGTGTCTGTGGCTCCATAGGCCTTTTTTTAAAAAAAATTATTCTAGCATTGATTTCTCCACTGTCAGCTTGGATTGGCTTCAGCCCCAGGTGACCCTGAATAGGATAAGCGGTTATAGATAATGGATGGAGTGATAGCCTTTATTTCTTAGCATCTAAAAGACATCTGTAAAGACTTACTGATAAGCAAAAATCTTGACTAACCAGTTTGAAGGAATGGCTCATCAATTCCACCGCATGGTGGATCTCTGCCTTCAAATTAACAGCTGCAGCAGTCAGAGGAGCAGTGATATTTAGAAAAGGGTATTGAGAAATGTTTTCAGGGTGCGCTGCAGAAAATGACAAGCAAATTCCATTTTCATTCATATAATGTGTATTTGATGGGCACAAATGCAATATAGCCTACACAGAGAATTGTGCAACAATTATGCAATGCAGTGTGTCATAGCATTTATAGCTCCTTCTAATTTCCAATGCCTGTCCCTGCGTCCTTGCATGTTTGAGCATGCTTTGAGCAACTGAGACCTGTTTTTGCCCTGCAGCGTAGGTGTGACATTGACAACAGTCTTTTAGACCGGTTTGCTTGTCTTTCTGACTGACATTTCTGTACCTGTATCACCAGTACCTCTGATCTGTGTACATATCCTGTATCTCTGTCTGTTCAGCCCTGTTTGTAACTGTTTGGCTGTTTGAACTTCCTTTTCTCCACTTGATTCCTGAAATTCCCGTCTAGATCCACCTCTGTGTAACTTTGCATACTTTGTCTGCCTTTAAAATGACAAAACAAGGTAATACGTCTGTCATCTATCTGCTTTTCTCAGGTGTCTGCTAAAATGGTTAGAGATCCGCAGTGTCTGCCCCATGTGCAATAAGCCCATTTGCCGCCTCCAGCCTGACCCCCCGCAAGCACCTGAGCGGCCACAGAGTCTCCTGGAGGTCTGAGAGGAGAACACATGTCCAGCAGCACTTCACGTTCTCTAGTCAGTTGACACCTGTCACTAAAGAGCCTGTTTCACCGTCTAACAGATTGGAGTTTTATTAATGCAAACATCTTTTAGGCAGAACTACTCTGGAAGTAGAAGAGATATAATTGTCTGGGGTAAACCTTAAGTGCAGAGCCAAAGAGCCTACCTGGTAAACTATGTAGGGGGAGATTATAACACTTAGAGGTGGTGATGGTAATAACCCTTCACTAATACGTGATATGACACTCATGATAGCAGATTAAGGCTAACTATAAAGCCTAGATACTGCAGCACATATAGCCAGATGCTTAAGCTAAGTGCCTTAAAGCTACAGCTCCTCTAAATGAGATGCTACACCTGTCAGCATCGGCACACAATGATGAGGACTGATGCGTGTCCAAATCCCACTTTACTCCTCATTAAATGTAAGTTATGTACTGTAGGAAATAATCAATAAGTGAACAATTGTGGACAATTAGCCCTGATTTATCTGGCTCCACTTAACTGCCAAGTTAACAGTGAGACATAAGTCCTAAACTCCAGGCTTCAGAAAGCTCCCTCTGAATATTATGGACATCACAAATTTCTATTTTGGTAGCAAGAGTGCTACTGCTAGCCTTTTTAAATGGGTTTCAGTTTAATCAGTTGCTCATCCTGCAGGAAAACTGAGGTCAGCTTTATCCACTGCAGTGGCGCTCCCAGAAATCTTTCACTGGGGTGGCCAGAGGGGGCCGCTAAAAATCTTGGGGTGGCACACCAAAACCAAAAGCCATAACTAAATTTCAGGAATTCAATTATGCTGTCGTAGTATGGCTAGTTGTGAATTAGGCTATGCCAATATGGAGGGTGAAGGAAACACATACTGATGTACTTTGGTTTCTTATTTTACAGTTAATAATACTAATTATCTGATGTGTACAGACTAACACCCATACCAATATTTTGAGTTCCACAACAATACTGTGTTAATACATGGTAGGTGATTCAATATTCTTCAAATAGGCTGGTTGTCCGTTTTTCCTTAAAAAGACAATTACACAGCTTTGATTTGAGGGAGTTAACCGATTGTAAGGAACAAAGTATTTACTGGGAACAAGCCTTCTCAAGTTTAGGGGAGACTTGGGGGTACCAATAAAGCCCATTTTCACTCTGATATCTTGAGGTGAGAGTACAAGAGACCCCTTTGAAAATGGGTTATGCCAGTTGTTCACTCGCCAAAGTTTAGCCTAACTTTAGAGCTTTATTTAGCTCCCTACCCAACAAGCTATGCTGACATGGTTGCAACCAATTGATGCCTTGGGCTGTCTGGCATCATCACCAAAAACATGTTGTTGGCATCATTATCAGAGTGTAGAGGCACCAGCTAGTTGTGAAAGGTTTAAACTCCCAGGTCGAGTAGCAAGCAGGGTCAGTTAAGACACCTTCCACATCTGTGTCACCCACACAGTTGTGTTGGTCCCTCAGCATGTTCAGGATGTTGATGTGGAGTTCCTGCTGTAACCTAACTAATGAGATTATTTCTGCCCCCAGAGCAGCTCTGCCTCTGAAAAGTGTTTGTATGACAAACTCCCGTCTGCTAGTTTTCACTTTGCCCAAAAATGACATGCAGCGCCACATGAATATGATGTGTCTTGGTCTTTCACCACAACTTAAGAGCCTGGAGCTTGGAATGACACCAGACACCAGCTTTGAAGATATCACAACGTCCTTTGGCTCATTGCTGCCCCAAATTTAATGGCAAATGCAGAGACTGTAATGAGTGGAGTGGAGTTGTAGAAAAGATGATATTTGTAAACTAACAAGAACTGGGGCTGTTTGTACTTTGGCTGCAGTCTTTCATTGTCTCACAGTCGGTCAGCTCCGTCCTACAGTGTGTTGCCAAGCTGAGTGTAGTGAAGTCCTAAATGGTAAGACAGTGGAGTCATAGGGGATCTAATAGAAAAGATGCTGTCACATGCGTGTGCAGCTACGACTAAGGGTCCTAAGTGACTCAACCAGTAAAATAACACATAAAGTATATACATTGTTTTTAAGTTATTTTTAAGGAACTGTTTTGTATCCGTTATCAGTCATAACTGACTTTCAGTAAAAGGTATTGTGTGTCAGTGATGCTTAAACACTTTGACTGTCATTCGTCACATAGTTGGATGTCATTGTTGCCAGTGGGATGGATGAAATCGTATGTCTAAGAACTGCTCTGTACTGTAGTGATATAAATAGACACACTGCACTGATATGAAGAGCCTGTTTGAGCTGGTTTCTTGTCTGAGTGAGGTGCATCATAAACATAATCCTCTATATGTATCTACCATGTAATATATTATGAGTACTGTGTAAATTGTAAATGCTTTTAAAATTTCTGACTTTAGAAAAAAATATATATAATCGGTGTTTTGATATGGTCATTTGGATCCATGTCTTTTTTTGTACTTTTGCTACATGTTGACACTTTAAACAATTTATCTGTATGTTGTCATGATAATATATGAAAAGGTTATACTATTGTCCTGCCGGTGCCCTATCTTTGTTTTAGGTAACGTTGGTTGAGCTTACCAACTTTGTGTGTGTGTGTGTGTGTGTGTGTGTGTGTGTGTGTGTGTGTGTGTGTGTGTGACGGAAGGATTTCCACCATTAAGGTGCCGTCTCTGATGTGAGAAAAATTCTCCATACCTTCATTCAAAAATAGTTTGTTGTCCATCTTCTAATGAAATTCCAGCAGGCTGTATGCTGTGAGGCGTAATGCTGCAATCTCTAATAATGTGATTTTCATATTTTATATAAACAGCCTAACTTCAGGGATGGGAACGTCTGTCTGTTGGTCAGTCAGTCCACCACTCTGATCCAGACTGAATGATAACTTCTTACTCAGCCTAGAAGAAAATGTTTGCATTATACGCTTCTGCAAACACAGACACGTTACATTTGTCCATCTCATACACAGCATATTAGTGTTTGTAAAGTGACGTAGTTTGGTGGATGGTGGAGGGTGTGACGTTTGCCAAGCTGCAGACAACTGCAGATGTCTGAAACCAACAAACAACAACACCAGTTGTGTTTTGGTGACCCCTTATGGTGTGTTCACCAGTGTTTGTAGCATCCAGCCTGGGTGTCCTTACTGACACGTCGTGGGGTGTCCCAGTGGCTTTTGAGCCACAGAACCTGGGTGTTTTTCAGTGACCCGTCCCTGCTTTTTCAGCAGCTTTTGTGCCACCAAATGTGGGTGTTTTGAGCCAAAACATAATCTAGTCCTAACCATAACCAAGTGGTTTTTGTGCCAAATCTAACCACACATTCACATCAGTTCTGTTGAGAAACATTAAGTTTCAGTGTATCTGCTGAAAAATAATGTATAAGTGTAACGTATCTGTGGTTTGCACAAAATGTGCAATCCCAACTTTTATCTGGTGATTTGCTTGCCTTTCTGTATTCTCAACAACTACCAGATGAATTGTCATTACATTTTGTAGAGATATTCATGATCCCCAGAGGATGAATCCTACTGACTGCTACTAATAGTGATCCCCTGACATCATTCTGTGGTGCCATGAGGCTGAAAATTTTGTTATTTTGTGAAAATGTAGGTTACAGGTAGATTATAGGTGTTTATAGGTTTGGGTTTTTTCATTAATAGTCACTCTGCAGCTGTTTGGCTTTTTACAGCCATCCCTATAACAGGGTACTATGTAGCCCACTGTGTACTTTAATTGATAGTACTCATGTTCTCATGTTCAAATTCTCCTTGATCAAAGTGGTAAATTTACAAGCTCAAATCCAAAAATGTTCTGCCAGAAAGTCAGGTGACATAGTATAAAAAGCAACAAAGCCAATCTAGGAGGGAAGATGTGGTAGATGGATGTGAGAAGCGTAGGACTCTAATGCAGGAGACTGCATTTTGAGCTCCATGTGAGTCAATTTTGACCTATCAGTTTTAGACTTGGACTTATTATTTTCAGTTTTTAGGATTTATAAAACTGCTAAATACACATTTGGTACATAAACTTGAGCACAATAACTGAGTAGACCCGTTTGTGTTAACGCCCTATTTCAGAATTGCCAGGACATCCAGGAATATACAGCTTACACTGGGGATATAGATAGACACACTGGCTATGCAAATGGCATTCTTGGCTATGGATACCTGGACTACTGAATGAGCCCATCAGACACTGGCTCAGGGGCCCAAAGTGTCAGGGCCCTTCCTGGCCTCTACCTACAAAATGTCACTCAAAGAGACACATCAACCACCAAGAGACTCAATACAACCACAAAAAGGCAAGGCAAGTTCATTTACATAGCACATTTAAGGAGTAAGGCAATTCAAAGTGTTTTACATAAATATCAAAAACATGGAGGCAAAGTGCAAAAGAAACACATTATAAAAGGAAATTTAAATACAATTAAAAAGGACATTTAAGAGAAATAAACATAAAATGACCACAAAGAGACACAAACAACTACTACGAGATGCGAAACAGCTGCATGGAGACACAAAGAGGCTCACAAAAACTACGAAAAGGGGCAAAATAACCACAAATACACAAAATGACTACAAAAAGACACACCTAGAAAGCGATGCAAAATGACTACACAAAGGGGAAAAACAACCAGACAAAAAATAACTACAAAAAGAACAAAAACAATTACAAGGAGCCTAAAAAGTGAGACACAAAATAAGCACAAAAAAGACACAAAACCACAGAGAGACATGTTACAACAACAACAAAGGTGCGAAACAACAACAAAAAGAGGCAAAATAACTATAAAGTCTGTGTGTCTGACTACGATGTAGGAGAGGCGGTGGGGCCTTTTGCATGTCTGTGCCCAGGGGCCCATTGTCTCATAATTCACCCATGAGCCTCAGCTGTACTGTGTGTTAACTATAGTATGCTAACATGCTAAACTAAGATGATAAACATTATACCTGCTAAGCATCTGCATGTTTGCATTTTCACTGTAGGCATGTTAGCTTGCTGATGTTAGCGTTTAGTTTCCCAGCTGGCAGTGGACGTCAAAATAACATCAAAAAGATGCTGGACTCTTACGTTGGATGGACGTTAAATTTGGGTTGGACTGAAAATCCTGTTGACAATATTTTAAATGTCTAATGGAGTTAGAATTCCAAGTTGTGTGGACAGGCTGAGTTTTGTTCACCATAACTTTCAACAAAAAGTCGTTATTCTACATGCTGTTGGCATATGACGCTTGGAAGACGTTGGATTTTGGTTACTGAGAAATGCAACTTAAGACCAACAAAATATCAATGTCATCTGTAGTCAGTGTTCCACATCAGTTGATGTTGATGTTAGATGTTGTCCTGACATTTAATTTTGGTCACCCGATGTCACAATATGAATTCAACCAAATATCAAATCCAAATATTGACGTTGGTGGCCAGCCGGGTTAAAGCACCCATCTATGAAAAATAAACTCTGTACTATCTTATACAGGCTTTGAGAGAAAGCAGAAGAACATCTGTGACTAAACAACCAAGTGATTCCTACAAACTGTTTTACGGGGTTGACTTCATCTCCTGTCCTGTAGATTCCCAGTAATCCCACACAAGACACTTGGTGGTGCATTTACCACTTAACCAACAGTGAATTCCCAGTATATGCCCCCTAATTCTTAAGTGGGGCTTCCCCCGGTTCCATAGACAACTTTTATCTAAAATGAAGTGTTGAGAAAGTCTGTAGCAGGAAATGATTCTATCATTCGAAGATATGGCCTGTGGTCTCCTGTAGCGCTCTCCATGATGTCACTACAACAAATAAACACAAGATATCATACAGGTATGAAGATGCACATGACTGCAAAAATGTGCACAACACAGACAGAAAGCAGAAAGTTATTACACACAGTGAAGAGATGTCTGGAAATTCCCTTTTCAGTCATGGCATCAGGGTATTTGTACAAGAACACAAGTGTATCATGAAAGGCTTTCAAGGATGAACCTGACCAACTTGCATGTCTTGCAAAGACACTCGAAATACAAAGAGGCGGAAATCTCCTTTGACTCCCCAAAACACAGCACTACAAATGTGTACAAAGTTCTATATTCCCACACATCCGTTGGCAGATAGAAAGTAGTTCACACTTCCTCACGGAGGAATCTCGCAAAAGTAAATATTTAACCACAAGAAGTCCCAGATATGAGTGAGCATTTAATGTTCTGCACGTAAACTGCCTGATTACAGCAAGTGGAGAGAATGTTTAGAGGATAAAGAGGATTATAATGAATAGGGATGACTGATCCCTCACTGAATTTGTCTCTTACTAACCCTCTCAGGTTTGCAAGTGAAGTCGATTTTTTTATACTGCCCAAAATCACAAATTTGCCCCAAGGGACTTTTAAACATCATCTGTCCTTAGACCCTTCATTCCGGTGAGGAAAACTCCTGTGGAAGCCTGCGATGTGTTTGATTTAGCTGCTTCCACCTGCTGACAGTCTAAGCTGCAAAGGTAGATAGATGCTAACTGCAAATCAGGACAGCCTGCATCATCTTCACAAACACAGGAACACACTGCTCACTTTCACACACTGTGTGAAAAAACAGACAAGAGGTGAAGGTGTTATGCTGTCAGTGCTCGATAGATTAAAATGGTAAGTGAAAAATATGTTTACATCTGAGGACAACTAAAGTTCAACAGGTGGTCCAAAAGAAGTTTGAATTTTATTGTCTTTCTTAGATTATCTAATGTATTCAGATAAGTGGCAGGCTTGATAAATGACTGATAAGTGCATATGCTCCTGCCATCCTCGTTTCATGCTGCTCCATCAAAATCCACTCAAACACATCAGCTATACAGGATGCTTTGTAAAAGGTGGATGTTGTTTTCCCCTACTAATATTAGGACTTAAGTGTGTTCAAAATGAAAACACCATCCATCTTCCCAATGTAAATAACCCAAATGTACACTCAGTTCACAACACCTATAACCCCTGCATGTACTTACAGCCTTACATCCTTTAAAAACTCAGGTTTCATGGCCATAAACACAGCAGCAGCTGTTTTATTTGGAGCCAATGACCTGCAAGAGGATACATGAGAATGAATTTCATTAGCTAAGCATAAAAACCACTATAATGCCTGAGGCGGTGATGGGTTTCCCATCTCCCATAAACAACATGATGTAAATGGTGTCCTACAGGAATGTCTGTGCTGCTTAGACATGTCGTTGGGGTTGTCTGTGAGGGGATGTCCTGACTCTGCATGTCACTGCAACATTTAACACCAAATACACTGTGACTCTTCCTGTTGTGTTACCACAGAAAGACAGAGGGTTTGGCTCAGGAGCTCAAAATCCTTAAATCATATAGGCTTTGTTATGTTTCATTTATTAATTTTTGATCATACCTTCGGCCCAAAATAAATATAATTTACTCTTTCTGTTTACAACACAGATCCATGTGCAATTTGTCTGAAATATCTCTATGATCTCTAATGAAAATAATGTAAATTGGTGGATCTACAGATAGTGTTGTCCACATTGTTATGGCTGTGTTGAATGCTAAAAGATGACATTTAGTCAATGTACTTTTTCCAATTCAGTGTTATTATGTTGGGCAAATATCTGACACAAAATGTTGACTTGAAACATTTAGGCAACTGCAGTTTTGCTGTTTCAGCTTATTTATTCTTCTCATTTAGAGCTCAAGGAGCCTCTCCTGATACAGTAGTGACTACCTCTGGTGGCCAAGTGAGGTCACACCTGTGCACCTATGGGATTGATTACGTATATGACAAAGCAATACCTCCTCGTTATGACGCCAACAAAATCAAAAATGTATGAAAAGAAAGGGTAGATAACTAGTGTAGGATAAAACCAGAAACTTATACATGTATAACACAGGAATGACTTCTGCTCTTCAAGAAAAGTGACTGTAAATCCTTCGTTGACCACGATTACATGCTTTGAGCGCTCCCTGCTGGCAAGAGTGTGTAGTGTACTACCGGAAAATACGTAATCATGTTTTCAAAATAAGTGTATCGGATTTGGCAATCGTGTTATGAGTTATGAGAAAAACACTGACTCACTGTATTTTCTTATATTTCGTGCAGTTAATTTAATCCAAGTTCACACCCTTTGAATCACACAATTCTATAAAATTATGTACTTTCGGTTTTGTGCATAATATTGATTTACAGGTCAGGTTACATTTATTTTGAAGGATTAAAACCGGAAATGTTATTGTTATTGATCGCAAAACACGCGCGAAGGAAATTAAGTTGCTAACGTGAGTGTGTGAGGAAGGAGACAAAGTAGGTAAAGTTAGGAAGTAATTTTGTTTCGTGTTTAAGTTGTCTTTTGTGGTTATAGCACGGACTGCGGCGTTTAACTGTGTCATGTGAGGTCACGTTAGCAACTAAGCCGTGACTTCACTCTGTAAGCGCATATGTGTCTGTTACTAATCCTGCATATGATAAGCAAGCTAATGTTAGCCCGCTAGCCAAGCGTAGCTAACTACTGACATCCCAAGGAACTATATCTTTCATATTTTACTTGTGACAACTTAACACTGACGCCCAGGGTTAAATTCTACTTCAAAATAAACCGGCTCCAGTTTTGTTTTCGTGACTTAAAAGGTTGGGGCGTTTGTTGTAACGTTAGTGTTAGTTAGCAGTTGTTGGACGTCATGAAGTCATGAAGAATCAACATATATATTGATGCATTTCATTTACCTCGATTGTCGGAGCTGAGAATCACGTCACGTCCGACTTGGCCGCGTTCCAGTACAAAGAGTCGGAAAACCACTATGTTAGCAATACCGCTACGAGGCAGGTTAGCCATTAGTATTATTATTATTCGTTGATAACGACACATTAGGCTGTATTTTGCGCATACAAACACTGTAGTATCGTGTCCACAGACAGATAGTTGGACTGGACTGCGTATACGACGTTTTGTAATGAGACACTAATAAGACAGAAGTGCTAATAAACGGTATATTACTACAGCTTTCATTACTGTTGATGCACGGAGCAGTTGTATTGGATTTTGAGGTCGGGGTTGGTGAGGTCCCCCAGACTTTCCCAGTTGGAAATCCGACTTCCAGTGGAAAATTCCTCCTGAGAACTTTAAAATTCCGATTTTCCTAATACAAATGGAACGCACCATATCAGACAGCGATTCAGAGGAAGAGGTATGTTTACATTTAATTTCACACAGTGAAGGTTTCTTCTTCTTTATTATTATTTTATTCATAATAAAGTCTTTTAATTTCCTCCCTTTTCTGACAACTCACAATAATATCCCACATCTTTGAGCTGTCCTGCTTATTTAACTGGAATATGCAATAACTGAAACTTACATTAACCCTTAACTACACATGGCATTGCTTTTGATTTAGTTTAAAAGGCAGACGTGAGTTAATGTTAAAGAAATGCAACTGCAAGTCTGTTTTGAAGCAGTAACCATTGACTGTCATTTGTTTACTTTCCCACAGCCCAAGCTCCCTCTGAATCAATTCTACCCCTATATCCGCTGTGCCCTTTGCTGTGGCTTCTTCATTGATGCCACCACCATCACTGAGTGCCTCCACACATGTGAGTTACAACAGAGATGTCAGAGGGCCTTGAGAGGATTCAAGGAGTTCCACATGAATTGGATGTTTAATTTAATACATTTTTAACACTGAATGCATTCCAGTGGTTGGGTTTCTCCTTTGGGAGTCAGACTTTTTGGGATACAGTAAGGCATACGGGACACAAGGAGAATAGTGTGCAAACTGGAGATGTGGTGCTTTCACAGTATGCCTCCTAGAGCACTAAACTCTCAGGATACCCACACCAACGTGTCATTTCCTAGCATGATGTCTTCATGCCACACATGTTAGGTTTAATAAGACCACGCACAGGAGACCAGCTGGGAAACTAGTCAGTGATCAGCAGATATTAGCTTATCACTGACATGTCTGTCAGTGTTGTTTTTTTGTTTGTTTTTTTACAGCAAAACATACTGCTCACTAAATGTCTCAGCCACAGTATTTTAATTAAAACATTTAAGTTAAAGGATTCTTACTAAACTCTTTTATATGTTTGTGTTCAAAAAAATGACATTGGCTTGCATATAGTCATAAGGTCTCAAAAAATAATATTTATATCATTCTCAAAAGTCCATATTAATCTGGCTATGTGTCTTACATTGTGATATGTTTTATTTTCTCCAAGTTTGCAAAAGCTGCATTGTGAAGCACTTTTTCTACAGCAACAGGTGTCCCACATGCAGCATTGTGGTCCACCAGACACAACCACTTTACAACATCAGGTAGGTCTGATGATATTTGCTCTATTTGATCATTTGTGTCTCTTTCTGTGCCTGTTATTTAAATAGATTGTTGCTAGTTATCCAGAGGAAAAAGTTTTAACAACTGTGGAAAATCATTACATATTATTCTGGAAATTAGAATGCATTCATTTTCTTCAGTCAGTGTTAAGCGTCAAATGCTTTTGTTTTCCTGTAGGCCTGACAGACAGCTGCAGGATATTGTTTACAAAATGGTTCCCTTCCTGGAGGAGTGTAAGTACAGTATATTTACACTCAGATGTAGTTTAACGTAGTTGATGAACATCATTTTGTGTCATTTTCTGTTTGAATCCTAACGTTAACTCTTTTTTAATTTTGTACCACAGTGGAAAGAGAACAAATGTGTAACTTCTACAAAGAGAGAGGGATGGAGGTGCCAAAACCAGGTAATAGTTCAACCATAAAAGTTTAAGTAAACAGGCTTGGGGCAATGTCACGTGAACTCCTGTGATCCATTGTGTGTAATGTAACACACAGTATATCACCGTCTTTCTGTGTCAATAGCTTATTAAAGGATAAAGTTGAATGCAGTGTTACTTCACACATTGCAGATAAGCTAATAAATAATATTTAACTACAACACATTTAACACACTGTTGGCCATAGAGCCTCTTATGGACCTGATTGACACTGCTCCATTTGTTGTCAATGAGTAACAAATTGATGTTCTCTCACTGCAGTGCCATCTTTGGTTAATCAGAGTATTTTCAACAACACAACCCAAACACAGTAAAGTTTAATCATACTGTGATCAGTGGCGTGTGCATAGGCAGACTAAAAATAAGGACAAGGGGGAAGGGAAAGAAGGGGAACAACTTCTGGGGGAGTTTTCCTTCTTGTTGAACAAGAGGGGAAAAGATTTATTGAACATGCACAACAACATTCAGTTTTCCATTTGTGTAAGCATGATGTGTTTGACATTTTAACTTCAGTGTTTTCATTTTGCTTTTATATCTAAGCACTTCTGAAATGGAGGTCCAAAGATTGAGATTTAGCATAACAGTATCAAAACTTTGAGACTCTGTCACTCAAGCTATTGCCCTGTGTTTTTCTCTCCTGCCTTGCAGTGGTGGTCTCCCCTCCAGGTCCTCCTGTGTTAAAGAGGCAGAAGAAGGACAACATTCCTCAGTCTGTGTTCGCCATTCCTCCTGAGCTGGATGTATCTCTGTTGTTGGAGTTTGTTGGGTAAGGATCTGATGCTATTGCTGGACAGTTTTGTCCAGCGTGAATTGCATCTGTATTGGCTATTGGTTACACAGCCTCTGAGCCATTCTGCACGTGTAGATATAATAAAAAAAGGCCCTACACAAAGAAAATCTAGGTTGCAAATGTATTCATTCAGGCATCAGACACAACACTTTGCACTATTGTTTTAAATGGCTGAACGTGCACTTAAAACCACGTGAGGCATGTCAAACTGCTTCTGACACAGCCTCATTGACCTTGTTTTTGTTTGTGGAGTGTCAAATGAAGACCCACCAAAGCTGTGAGGCAGAGAGGAAGGACGGAGAGACAGAAAGGCGGGCGTCTGTTAGCTTAGCTGAAACTTTATAAACAGTACAAATGTAATTCTACAATGCTAACAAAAACAATGACCGCTGCTAACACCTACAGTGCTACAGATTTTAACTGCTGTGTTGTTGAGTCTGATACTAAAAATAAGAAAAATAAAAGCTCAGACCCTTGGTAGTTACGTTAGCATAACAGACCCACCCCATGTCATCTACAATGAATGTTTACTAACATCTGGTGGTCATAAGACGTAACTTGCTACACAAACATGACAATAGCAATTATTTGACATAGTATACAGTTACTATTAGCTGTTCTTAATATGACTTTTAAGTGACTAAAAAAGTGATTGTTCTGTGGATTTGGCATTTTTAAATCTGATGCCTGCAGTGTGCCATATGATCGGCATGAATCAGATGAGGCGCTTAAGTAATTGCTTTGAGTGTATTTGAGTCTTAACTGTTTCTCACTGGCCCAACATGTCATGGTGTTTTCATTCTTAATCTTGTTACTGAGATGTTTTAATTAGTTAATAAGCCACACCTGCTGTCAGGATGATAGGGAGAAGGTTTAGTCTCTGCTGCTTTCAGACAGAATCAAATGGCAGAGCATTTGCCTTTTTTATCCTTGTCTTAATTCTCAGCCTGATGTTGAAATGCAAAAAACACTGCCCTCTTTGCACTGAGAATAGCAAACAGGTTCTCACGGTCTATTTTTGTTATCTGTCTCCTAGTAACAGTGTTCTAACAAGTGTAACCAATAGGCATTTTCACAGCAGACATTGGCCTTGTCATAGCAGTAAAAACGCAGGTGTAACTAATAACATTAACGATGACTCTGCTCCCAGTAAGCCATGCTAATGATCTAGCATGCACAGCAACAAGACCCTGCAACTCACAGTCTTAAATGGAGTGCAGCCGTTGTAAATGTTTTTCATCACACTTGTGCATTTGCATCTACGATATGTGAAAAGTCTTCTGTGAAAAGTGCCTGTCGCACTGGGCATATTGTGTACTCTGCCTCTCTTTTAGAAAATACAAACTCACAAGGTCAGTGTGAAGTAGCAGCACTGTTACAGCTATAATAAATCAAAAACCTGAATGTGTAAATCATTCTCTAATTAGCAGTTAGGGAACTACTGCTGTTCTCATGTCTCTTACTGTCAGAGACAATAAAAAAAGAGTTGTTAGATGAAAGGATAGGGGCTTTGCTTCTGGTCTGTAGACATAAATATGACACTCCTGGTGACCATGTCTTCCCCTTTGAGGAATATGTGGAATGCAGTTTGTAGCAGTGAATCAAACTATGCTGTTGTTACATAAACATACTATTAGATGGCCCCAGTGTCTTACAATTTTTCTCGATTGTTTACACACATTTTCTGAAAGCATGCCTCATACTCTCAGAACTCTACACACAAATCAAAAAACACACACACAATGGGCAAAACCCCTCAATTCTCCTGCAAAATGAAACTTTACATTCAAAACAATGTTATTTCTTCTCAAAATGGTATTTTGTTTTCAAATGACACACACAAACCATCATATGAATAGACATTTATAAGAACCAGTTGAACACTGATGTGCTCAATTTAAAACACTATGATGAATGGAAAACACTTCTTCTCCATTCATCATAATGACTTAGGCCTTTTTTTTGTTCAGTGTTACACTTACTACAGACAGTACATACATAAGTGTGTTGTAAAACATTTTAGAATATTGTTTTTATACTAAGAACAACAAATACACGGTAACAAATATATTTTATTTTTCCCACAAAAACAATGTACACAGTGTATATCCCAACCAACACAAAGTTGCACATACAGTGGTCTACATAGAAAACAACAGAAGAATTTACTGTATACAGTAACAGTAAAAAAAACCAATAACTATGCTGCTACATGGTCAACCAAAGTGGCTCGGATCTCATCAGAGATTACGATCCTTGGCCTTCCTCGTCCTCGTCCTCCCCGTCCTCCTCCTCTTACTCTTACTCCTCTGGCTCTGCCTCTGCCTCTGTTTCCAGTGTTGGCATCCATTGCTCCAAAACAGAAGAACTCACCTGTTGCCCTTTTATGCTAAAGCTCTGATTGCTAATTGTAAAACTGTGTGACAGGTGTTTGCCCATGTGATGAGTCAGTGTGCATAGTAGGGCAATTAACTTTAGAATTTTGAATGACAGTGTGTTCCTTGTGAAAACAAGAGATTTTCTTCATGAAAATTGTGCCAAATGCAGAGAATTGTGTGTAGTGTTTTGAAAAAAGTGTGTTTTAGAACTGCAATTTGAGTGTAAAGCAGGAATTATGCTTGTAGTTTAGCAGAATTGGTTCAGGGGGTTGGTGCATGAGTTACATGTTGTGGTCATTGTGTCTCAAGTACCAGTATTTGTGTGTAAACAATTGAGAAAAATTGTAATTTGACTACTTGCTCAGTAGTAGGTTCTCCGTACTGTGTATTGACTTCTGTTTTGATTTCAGGGCTGAAGAGGGCATCAATAACTACAAGGTATTTACTCATAATATTAAGTGTTTCTAATAGTTATAATTAGATTATAATTGTGCACTGTAAGGGAGGCTGCTACCAGACCTGCTTATATATCAGGACATCCCTGATCAAGGGACATCAAGCAGTCCTGTAACAACAGAGCCTGTTGGGATCTCTGTCAAGAATAGTGTCATCAGTTCATCATTGTATTCCGTAGAGTTTTTGATGAATTACTTTCTTCTGAAAAGTCTGATACAGTATACTCCACCCTGACCACCCTGTCCCTGTTTAGCCATTAGAGAGGCGGTACGTCCGTGTGTCCGGCGAGGCCACTGTCCGCCACGTGGAGCTGTTCATCAGGAGGAAGATGGAGCTGAGCTCCACCTGTCAGGTGAGTCTGCCAGGCTTACGGCTAATGAGTTCACAAGGTGACATGTCCCTGTCTTGATCCTGATTGTTGCTTTAGACAGTCTTGGAAACAGGACAGCAAAGGAAGTTGGCAGTACAGTAAAGTGTAGGCGTGCACACTGACCAGGGTCAAGCTGGTGTATGTAAGAGAGGGTGTCTTTGCTGATTAAGAGACAGCAATTTTGTAATGCCCAGCAGAGTGATTAAACTGGTGTGCAGCCAGGAAGCATGTGTGACCCAGCTACATTAATGTACACTAATGGGCAACACACACCTGCAGCTTATAATGCATATTAAACCAACTGTGTTTACTGTCTTTATTCTTCGAACCAAGCATCAAAACATGCATTGAGTAGACCCACCATGTCTCTGTATCAAAAGAGTCAGTCAAGCCAAGCCACCAGGACAGTATGGTCTTGACAATTTCCTCACCCATTCAAGAGGCTTCCTCAGTATCTTTGACTGGTTAGAACTTTTTAACTCTGTTTGAGGCTCAATATCGAGTTCAGACTGTAAACCTAGTTCACATTACACGATTTTCACAGCGATTTTGACGTCGCAGAGGATCTTGAGAGCCACCTTGGGTCGAAGGGGAGTCGGCAGATAAGTCTGCCACGACGAGTCCTCGTGTGAACAAGCCTACGAGCAAGTCACCCCCTCGTCTGTGACTGGGACTGGATATCTGGCATGCTAGAAAACTGACACTGTCTGACACAGCTGACAAAGAGCATCAGCCAATGAGAGGCGAGATACGTCCTACGTCAGCACGCAGGAGGTTGGGAGAAATGTGAGGAGGACAAGCCGCAGGGTTGCCAGGTCCGCGACTTTGGGCTTGTTTTTTGGTAAAGTCGCTTACATATATTGGTAGTCGCGGGTTGTGGTTTTCTGGGCTTGTTTCTAAAATGGAGTTGCTTATTTGGGCTTGCTCTCTATACGTCGCCTTTCTCTCTCTATATATATATATCTGTTGCTTCTTTTGGGCTTGTTTCCCTAGCCCTGGTTGCTTGTTTCTCTCACAAGATGTGGCAACACTGACAAGCCGGCAAGCAACAACAACAATGGCAGCGTCCACAGGATCACGGGGAGCGTGTTGTGTTTGGACCCAGGCCCTGGAGGCAGATCTGATTCCACACTAGGAAGAATATCCATGCCTTTACAATGTGTCGTCTCCAAGTTCAAAAACGCAGTTTGGCAATGTCACTTTGTTATCTCTGGGGCTCTGTCGGCAAGGGCTCAGTGGAGAAATCTTGTGGTGTGCACACACAGGTCGTAACGCAGTTGGCAAGACTCACAATGACAGAAACACGCCGCCAAGTATGAACACTCAAAAGATTACGATTGTCTCCACGACGCAAAATTGGGGTGAAAATCGTGTAATGTGAACTAGCCTTAAGTGGAAGCGCTGTTGAGTGTGCAGATATTCTGTGGAGCGCTGGCTGCTTTCTTTCAGCACTCATATTAACCAGATGGGCTGTTACCTTTGAACACCTGTTACTTCAGTTCAAAGTCAGCCTTATCCAAACAAAAAAGCATAAAATGCGACCAGTACAACAAGCAGTGCAATGAGGAATGCACATGTGTAAACTGGAGACACGAAACAACTGATTACAAGCAGAGCCCGATATAGAAGGATCAGCTGCTTGGGTCAAAACTCAGCAGGGTGTCTGTGACAACAGACAACCTTAATCTGATTATAATCAAATAATTAGTGCAATGATAGCACAGGTCTGTCTCAGAGCAGTGAGAGAAGGTTCATGGTTGAAAATATTAATGTTACAATCAGGTGTCAAAGCACAGACGAACGGGAACACCTAACTATTCAGGTGTTGGTGTATTTTGTATTTAGGAACACGTGGATGAGGATTAGCAGCTTATGTTGATTTCCTGGCTTCAATGCTGCGCTGCTGTGGGCTGACTGGAGAGGACAGATGAAGACTAATGAAGGGCCACTGTCCATTGTCGCAGAGGTCACAACAGTTGTGTAACATGTACCTTTAAATTCTTATATTGTTAAAACACTTTTTGGAACTTTGGAATTGATGTGGAGTTTTAGTCTAGCCCATCATTCTCCTTCCAGTTCATCAGAAACATTTATGGCATCTCCTGCAGGTTTAGTCAGTTGAACGTTTCCCTGCATTTTTGATGCGCCACTGAATACAGTGGATAGTTGAACTTGTGATGGACTCATAAGTTGTCCCCCCAGAATTTTTTTTGGACCCGGGCTGACCCAGATGCCTGGAAACATTCCTGCAAAATTATTAAAACCCACACATACAGTGTTTTCTGTAGGCATCACAGGACTTGTGGACTGCTCAGCTCTGTCTGATTGAATCTCTGCTGCTGCAGTGGTCTGAAGTGTTTCTGTGTGTCCTGCAGGTCGATGTGGTTTGTGGAGATCACCTCCTAGATCACTACCAGTCACTCAAAGATATACAGAACTCTGTAGGTGAAGAGGCACTACAGGTAAGCACAGCAAAAACACACAGTAGGAACAAACCACAGTTTTAATGATGGGAGTTTTGTAGGAGATCAGGATCACTTTGGAGTCATCATTTTGGTTTTGTTTCCATTTTGCTTCAGGATGGTCTGTTGGTGCTGCACTTTGGCCTGGTCCTGCCCTCACAGTCATGAGCACAAGAGGCGGATGTCGTTAACTCCAAAGGGGATGACCGTTATTTTTGGATTGTGTTTCTCTTCATTGGACTCATAATGTGGAGTAACATTTTCTACATTGGCATTAAAAGTGCTCCACAGCTGTTTTGGATGTGTTGTCGCTGGATTGTTTCTATCTGTTTACATTTGATACAAGTTTAAACTGTTCACAATGTAGCATCAGATTTCCAGCTCCCAACATCATCATCTTATATTCAGGGCGACCCATGTGTCTTGCTGGACACAGGTGACATACGTATGAATTTTACATGAGTGGAAATGACAAATACCTAGTCTTAGTGCCAAGATGTCTTCTTAGGTGTTCATTGTGCTTCCACTGCACACAAGACTGTGACTACTGCTGTAGCTAAAACTGAGCTAAACCACTGTATGTAGGGCTGAAACTTAAATGTCTCTGTGAAGCTGCATCAGTCTAGCGGACCTATCTTTTTGGAAACTAGCAACTGGTATCTTAATTTTTTTGTATTTATGATCTCAAGGGCTAAGTGTGATTTCAGTTGTGATTTAAAGGGCTTCAAACAAATGTACTACCAAAGGTTTGTGTGTATGTGTGTTTTGTGGAGCGTAGATCTACACTTGCATTTTTAATTACAGCTTGCTTCTTGTTGATTTACACATTTAATTTAAGAGCTTTTGTATAGATTGTCTGCTGATGCAAATTTATGAGTTTGACTTGATTAAACCTGCTTTCAGTTCAGCTCAGCAGAGCACAAAGCAGTTATTTAACTGGGGTTTGTATCAAAGTCTTTTGATAGGGTTTGTAAAAAATAGCATTCCTACTGCTTTGTCAGAATTAATAAATGACTGCCCAACTGAGATGTTTCCTAATTCATCATGTGTCTTGTGTTCTATTCAGATGTATGCTTGTTATCTAATACCAATACCCTTAAACCTAAACTTTATATGTATGCAGTTATGAAGTACCACATGACAACCAGTCAATGTTATCTGTTGGCGATATGATGGAAGTTTATAGATAGAAGATTCCTCCCTGACCACAGTTTTATATATGGTATATATCAAGTGTCTATATATAAAGCCTGTGATGTAATTCTGGTAGCATTTCCTGGTTAGTTAAGTTGTTCCATGGAAACTATTAAGTTTTGGTTCCCAACACTTTAAGGGAAAACCAAGGCAGTATAGAACTGTTAATATTGTTTTTGATGGCTGAATACACCAACTCAATTGTACCTATTAGCAAGAAGTGAAACAACATTAAGTTATAGAATTGCAATTTTTACATTTTTACCTCATTGCACCATTGTATTTCTGCACCAAATACTATTCCTGGAAGTGTCCTCGCTAAAAGGGAAATAGCATCATTTAAGAGTTTGAAGTGGAGAAATTCAAACGCTGGTGAGTTCTGAGTTTCTTTAAAAACATTTTTTGTACATTTTTCATTCAAAACCTCTGTCAAGCATAACATATTCAACCTGTCATGCAAGAATACATGAGGAAAAGGGATTTTAAAGAAATTTTCAAAATGTACTTGTATGAAACAAGGTTTTTCATTAGCCGCATGCTAAGTGAGGCGTTAGCTTTGCCTGCAGAGATAATTTATGCCATATAACTTTGAATGTTTCCACTTTGTCACAGGAAAATGAGCAGAATATGTATTATTGCAGGTCTAACATAATCTTAATTTCTATTTACTATCTTGCTCAAAAGTATTCGTTATTTCAATGGTTTATTATATTTAAGAATTTGATACAGAAGTCAGGAAAACAGTAGACTTATGAGTAAACAATCTTTAAAAAAAAATACAGCTGCAAATTAGTATTGAGTTGAGGCTCCTTCCCAGTGTGGCTTGAACTTATGTAGATAAACACCTGACTGGAGGAGGACTTGAATGGATGTCCTCCTGGATTTGTGAATATGCTGATTTGCATAATGATCATAAGAAACAATTTGTTAGTCATGTCATTTTATTCATCCATTATTGAGTGCAGCTGAACCAACAGTTTTCCACTGGACCTGGACTACTTGTACTATCTGATGTGTTTAATAGTTTTCACGCCTAAAACATTGTGTATGTGGTAATAAAACATGATCTATCTGATGATGTCATCAAGGGGGGAAACATCTCTACACAAATTACGGGTACAGTCTTAACTAACTTCATAGTTTGTTAAAACATGCCAAAACAACAGAGAAGTTGAACTATGAAATTAAGTTTGTATCTGAGTTTTTTTTTCTCACCGGTCACACAGGTTTCAGTGCATTTTCACAGCACCAAAATGGAAATTGATTTGTGTAGCAATTAATACCTGGTCACATATTTACCATAATATTTGCAACATGTTCATTTCCTCTGGAGACATACAGTACATTTGGTCTAGATATAGAGGTCAGTTTTTTAGTGTCAGAGACTTACATTTTTACTGACAAACATTTTACCCTAAGAAAATGCAATAAGTTTTAGAGTCCAAAGATCATCTAAACTGGGACTTTCAACTCTAAATCTAAAACATTTATTGTAGTGTTTCCCTTAATAAACACAGTATGTGACTATGAACTACAGTCTCCAGATTCCTCTGCCATTCTTCCTTCAGTTGTTGGAGTTGATGTCTGCCTCATCTTTGTCCTCACCGCTCTCCTTGAAGCTTTCCTTCTTGGCCCCTTCTTTCTCCTTATGGCCGCTCCTGGAGGAGCCGGCGGTGTCTCGAGGCTGGTAGCTGAAGCTGGCAGCACCAAACGACATCCCTGAGTTAAAGTGGGTCTCCTCCCCCTCCAACAATTTCCTTATAGGACCAAAGGAAACAAATGTCAGACTGGACACACACACACTTAATACAACTCACAGTGTCTGAAGATGTTTAATGACTCTACTAGTCAAGAGATGTTTTAGTGGATTTGTGTTTAATGTAGTCAGCACCTGTAGGCAGCGATCTCTATATCCAGGGCCATCTTGACATTGAGCAGGTCCTGATACTCTCTCAGGTGCTGGGCCATCTCACCCTTCAGGTTCCTCAGCTCAGTATCCAGGTGGGAAATAGTGTCCTGTTACATTGGCATTAAGAAAGCAGGAAGAAAACAATAAGTGTCTAACCGAGTTTTACAGAGTTAATTCACTAAGCGTTTATTTAAAGGGACAGTTCAACCCCAAATCAAAAATACATATACTTCCTCTTACCTGTAGTGCTATTTATCAGTCTAGATACTTTTATTGTGAGTTGCCAAGTGAAGGAGATATTGGCCGTAGAGATGTCTGCCTTCTCTCTAATATAATGGAACAAGATGGTAGTTGGCTTGTGTTGTACAAAATGCCAAAGAATACTCAACAGCAATGTCTCTTTCCAGAAACCATGACCTGGTTACTGAAGAGAATCCACTGGCTTGTTGTGAGCATACAGGAACTATTTTCTCTATACCAAACTGCACCTGCCAATCGCATCACCACGCAGAAGGCGTGCATCTACTGCTAGCTCACGTAGCACCACTCAGCTAGCTATCATTACAGCTCCGCTGAGGTGGACACCAATAATGTTTACATCTCAAGTGGGATTTAAAGGCGCTGTATGTAAGAATGTGGCCAAAACGGTTACTGCACTCAAATTCAAAATACTGCCGTGAGTCATGTCCGCCCCCCCTCCCCTACAGATTCGAGGTTGCTGGACAGCAGCACGCTGGAGACTGATTTGTTTGCCCATGGCGGCTGCCATGGCAGGGCCGCGTCGCCGCGTCCTTGATCTTCGGTTTTCCAGCGGACCAGCGGTCCGGCTTCTCTGCTGCTAACGCTGCTGCCGGGATACAGCTGAGGAGGAGCCGGCTGCTAATGTAATGTACCGGGACACTGCTAATGCTGCTTGCTGTGCTGCTGTAGCTCAGTTGTAACTGTAACTGATGCTGAGACTCTACTGACTGCGTGACTGGTAGACGGCGGTGGGTGGCGCAACAGGCCAAAACACAAATTCAAAACATAAACATGATTTGCGGACCGTAAAATATTTTTTTAAATGCGAATATTCTGGCTGTACTATTGTTGTCGGTGAGATCAGTATGTTATATGAACATTATTCCTTAGTCTCTGTGACATATTAGGAGGATTTTATGACTATTTGCTTTCGATTTCTTACATATAGCTCCTTTAATACTTCTGCATCGAATCAATGCTGTACCTATGGCGTAGGCTCTGTGTCAACACACGTCAGACGTGCACCTCCCCAGAAATGTAACTACATGTCACAGTGACGCAGCACTCCTGTTTATTTTTGTAAACTGAAAATAATTTCCTTCCATGGAAAGAAGGATTTTATTTACTTTAATTTCACAGATAAGAAACATAAATTGTGAAGACAATAAAGCCTCCACTAAATAGCATTTTGAGTCTTGTGTTTGATTTATTCTGGCTTCATATGAGCAGAGAAAATCTCCACTAGCCACTAGGCTAATTTATACAATGTAAAATGCCATAGGCTTGTGTTTATAATGTTAGCATGTTGTACTTGTACGGAAAACGTCTTTTTTATAAGACAGTTGTTTTGTTGGTGGACCTTGTGAGTTGTAATGGTGCCAAACTTTGTAATGTTACCTTTGTTTAATATTGCTGTTATACCTGGCTTCATATGAGTAGAGGAAAAGTCTGCTAGCCGCTAAGTTAATTTATATGCTGTAAAATGCCATGGGCTTGTGCTAATAACATCAGCATGTTGTATTTGTGGGGAAAATGATTTCTGGAATGAGACATTGCTTTTGACTTTTTCAGATGTTTTTTTTTTGTTTGCCGCTTTGAGCACCACAAGCCAAGTGCCATCTAGTTCCATTATTTTTAAGAGAAGGCAGACAGTTCTACAGCCAATATCTCCAACACTCGGCAACTCACAGCAAAACAATCTAGACTGATAGATAGCACTACAGGTAGGAGGAAAAATATGTATTTTTGATTTTGGGGTGAACTGTACCTTTAAATTTGAAAAGATCATGGGGTGCACGAGACTATTTGCAGCATGAAATGGTGTGCAGGCATAAGTCAAAATGTATGCAAGTATGCTTTTGCAACTCTGCCCATCATTTAACATACTTCTCAAATGTATTGTGGAATTTAAACGTAAGACCAAATCTTTTGGTCTGTTCAGTACGTTGCCCGAATAATGTATGTTGCGTACGTTATTCTTTAGGTTGAACTTATTAGCTGAGAACAGAACCCTGGAACTATATGGACTGCATGTATAAAGACTGTTTATAATCAACTATAGTGCAGACTTTTCTGTGGTATAGCTGGTGGCCATCTCCTCATTTCCCTTAAATGGATACAACCTTTGGGGCTTAGCTGTAGCTCCTCTAAGAAGCCAGTGAAAGCAGATGGCCTTCCTGTATCCACTTTAGCAGGTCAGAGGTTAATCTAATTGACACGCAGGTTCAGTTCACAAAGAACTTTTACAGTCAGTCTCACAGTTAGAGACGCTCCTTAAAGTGACTACCACACAGGAAAGGTCATGTTCTGACTGCAGACCTTGAACCTGAATAAGACGGTCTTGTCACGAAATTGTCAAACTAACTTTAAATAAAGAAGGAGTCAGAACTTTATTTGAAATAGGTCATCATTACAGGATTTCTTTATTTCTATGAATAGATTTTGTCACATTTTAGTGGGAAGCCTCCCTGCTGCCATCTTTATGTGTATTGCCAATTCTGCTGTTTGCTGTTAAACGGCTTAGGCATTCTAGGAAAATATGTTCACTTTGTTATTTTGCATTGAAGGATAAGATCAATACAGTTCTTATATCTGCCTGGTGAATATGAAGCTTCAACCAGCAGCAAGTTGGCATAGTGTAGCACAAAGACTGGAAACCAGGCCTACAGGAAGTGTGCCAGGCTTTTAAGTTAAT